GAAGGTTGGGCAATCTACTTTCATAGTGATATTGCCTAGGAAACACAGGGAAGGGTCGCTTTGAGTCGAATCCGACTCAACGGCAGTGAGTTTGGTTTGGTTTGGTTGATATAAAATAGGGTTCATCTATTTGGAGCTTTTTATAATATATTTCTTTATATTTGAATCTTTTCTCACATACTTTCTAGAGGAAAAGATAAGTAAGAATGCTACTTGCTGTAAAGTCATGTTGAATTATCCAGTGTGGAAGATTTTTCCTTGCAAAGTTACTTTTCTCGTATTTTTTTAAGATTATTATTTCACACAGAACTTTTAATCATGCTTCTGTGTCTCTTTTTTCACATGGTAAACCCATAAATGTCAGATTCAAAGTTTCTGTCAAGAAGAATTATTTTTTAGGTCAACTTAAAAAGGGGGAAAGAGCACACAGAAAGGAAAAATCTTCTATTATAATCCACACCCTTAATTGATGACTTTTATAGTAACCTGGGTATAGAGAGGGAAACTACATATAAAATTGACTCATAATCAGTCTGTGACCTAAATCTGTCTCCACTGGATTTTGTTATTATAAAAATATTAATAATAAAAACAGTATTAATAGATTTCCTAATTGTCTAAATTTTGTTTTCATTTTCTTTTGGGTCTTTTTTTTTCCATCTATTTTTTAAAAAATCACTTAAAAAAGTAAGGAACTTGGGAGAGGATCTTAATAGAAGAGATGGCATAAAAGCAGTAGACAAGATGTCTGAGAATTTTGTCATTTGTTTGTTAATGGGGCATGTGGATTGTAGGTTTGTCTATGAAGTAATGTCTGTTCTGTGTAAATGAGCTGTTCTATTTTTCAGTCCATTGGAGTTCTCTGGCCTCTTTGAGTCTGGGAATAGTTACAGTCCTCGGGAGTTGGATTCTTTTTGTTTGTAATACCAGTAAATTTTAATTCTCAACACAGCAGTCTTTTTCTTACCAAAAAAAGCCTCACCACAGGGTTAGCAGGATGAGTAATAAAAGATTCTCTTAGGTCATGTGATGATATGGGAAAATTACAAAAAATAGGAGAGAGAACTAAAGGAAACAGAAGGAAAAAAAAAAGAAAAAAGAACCGGGGTATTAGCTTGGAAGAAATAGAGAGGTGAATTAAAGACCTAGAGGTAAATGCCATAAAACAAAATTAAATAAAAAAAAAGGATAAATGAAAAACTTGGTTAGTTTAATAGTATATTTTGATCTTTTAATGGTTCTTCAAGTGTTCTTTTTCATGATTTTTTTTTTAGTTAGAAAGAGGTTGCTTCCACACTTCACTGCTTGGGGCAGTAACAGTGGTCTCTGTATTTAATATGTACAGCCTGCCTTGTATGTGGTGGGGTTGGTGATTGACAGCCTTTCACAAATAGAATCTTCTTTCTTGTGCTTTCCAGATTCTCACCTGATGGAAGGCTAATTGTATCGTGTAGTGAGGATAAAACTGTTAAAATTTGGGACACTACAAATAAGCAATGTGTTAATAGCTTCTCTGATTCAGTAGGGTAAGTCCATTATTTTTGTGTTATTTATATGGGTTGGTTTGCCAATTCTACAATTTAAATAATATGAGATTAAAGAAATTGAAATATTAGGCCATCTTATTATTTCCTTCTAGGTTTGCAAATTTTGTGGATTTTAACCCTAACGGTACATGCATAGCTTCAGCAGGTTCTGATCATACGGTGAAAATCTGGGATATAAGAGTGAACAAATTACTCCAACATTATCAAGGTAACAATTTCTGTAGCAAAAAAACTCAGTTGTTGAATGGGGCTTCTATGGGAAGCTCTTAAACTGATCGACTATACTTTTGGTATAGTTTGGCCCTTTTAATGAGGGTCATGGGTTGTGTTTTGGTTACCTAGTGCCACTCTAACAGAAAATACCACAAATGGGTGACTTTAACAAACAGAAGTTTACTTTTATTCTCTTACAGTTTTGGAGGCTAGAAGTCTGACGTCAAAGTACCAGTCTCTAGAGGCTGGGTGAAAGCCCCTTGACCTTGGGCTTCAGCTCTGCCTCTTGCTCCCAGCCCACTCAGGCAGCTTGTAGCTGCTGAGACTGACAAACCCAAGGTTGATAAATAAAAAGGCACAGTCCCAATATTACCAAACAACACAACAGGCCACTATATTCTAGTCCAGAGACAGTCCCAAGATCAGCAGGAAACATGGCAGGCTGCTAAATGACTCTGCTACATGCAGGGTCCAAGCGTGTAATAAAGCTGGAGACCATTCCCAAAGTTTCTCCTTATGTATGGAAGCAAACCACAGCCCTACACAACTGCTCAGCTGCTCACAGTAGGTTCCACCATGGAGCTCATTGCCAGTCTCCTCATAGTGAATAACTACAACCAGCTGCCCAGCCACCTAAAACCAGGCCCAGCCAAGTTGACATATAACCTTAACCATCACAGGCTGCCTTTGAACTAGCTAAAGAAAAATTAGCTCCCAATAGCAACAGGGTCTGAGAAGCTGAGACATATGCCAGAGTGGAGGTAAGGTAGGTGGAGGAACCTTAAAAATGATGCCAAGGGCTATTAAAACAGAAGTTACTGTGAAATTTTCAAACTCTGGTTACCTGCATTATGTGAGAGGTCAGAGATAGAAATGGACTCTGAATTCCAAATCAAAAGGAGATATGTGGGTTTAAGTAGGTGTTACATCTGGTAGAAAACAACTCCCTAATATACCTATGTATTGAAGCTAAAAGGGAAGTGAATTGGTTTTCTTAGTTAGTATTAGTTTTATTTTAAATCCACATTTTCTTTCTTAAATAATAATAGTAACTATCATTCACTCCATGAACCATGTAGCATACACTGTGCTAAAATCCTCACAACATCACTGAGAGGTGGTGGTGGTGTTGCTGTTGTATACCGTTGAGTCAATTCCGACTCATAGCAATCAGATAGGACAGAATAGAACTGTTCCTTAGGGTTTCCTAGGCTATAATGTTTAGGAGGGCAAATCATCAGGTCTCCTGCTGCATTGGAGCTGGCAGGTTTGAACCAAATACCTTTCAGTTAGTAGCTGAGCGCTTACCATTGTGCCACCAGGGCTCCTCAAAGAAAAAAAAAAAAAAGAAAAGAAAACACTGACTGCCATTGAGTTCAACTTGTAGTGGCACCCATTGGGTTTCCAAGGGTGTAATTCTTTATGGAGGCAAGCTGCCTCATCTTTCTTCCACGGAGTGGCCAAATATCTTAACCACTACACCACCAGAGCTCTTTACCAGGGCTCATAAGAGGTATTATTATCATCCTAGTTTTAAAGATAAAGAAACAGAAATTAAAGAGGGCAAGTAACTTGCTTAAGTAATTGATAGAACTGACTTGGGTCTTTTTGTTTATGTGTATGGAAGAAAACACTTTTGATCACTGTGTTACACTGCCTCCTATTGGGCAAGTAACCAGAAATAAATTCTCACACTTGATGGCAAGACTATACTCTTCTCCAAATGTCTCTACACTATTCACCACTTAGTCCCAAGACACTAGGAGTTATTACATTTAATCTGAGGCTAGATTGTATATTTTATAGAAACTGGTAGTAATCAGTTATTACTTAAATTGGTAATATATTCAAGGGTTTTACAATCATATGGTCAACAAGATTATTTTTCCACACCATGATCTTATTTCTTAAGTTATTCTTTCTCATTGGCTGGGTGTTTAAGCTGTATGACACCAAAAATACCCATTTGTTTTAATGAACTACAAAGAATTTTGGTGTTGTAGAAGCATTCTCTCTAAATGATTCTTATTTTCAATATTAATATTACTAACTGGGCAAAGGTGCATCCTTAGAATTAAAAACTGTTAGTGTCATGAGACAATCCCATTAATTGGCACCACAAAATTCACATTCTACATCCTAGTGAGGTGAGTAGCGTCTGGGGTCTTAAAAGCTTGTAAGCAGCTATCGAAGATAGAACTATTGATTTCTACTCACCTGGAACAAAAGGAAAAGAAGGAAACCAAACTCTCAGAGAAGAAACTAGTCTACAGGGCTAATAGCCTACACAAGCTATGGCCACATCTACCCTGAAACCAACAGAGGTAGATGGTGCCTGGATACCACTACTGACCTCTCTGATCAGGGCCACAATAGATGAACCCTGAGGGAAAGAGAGAAAAATATGGAACAGAACTCCGATTCTTAAAAGTCCAGACTTACTGGACCAGTTGAGAGTAGAGAATTCCTTGCAACTATTACCCTGAGATACTTTTTAAACTTTGAACTGAAACTATCTCAAGGTCACCTTTTAGTGAAATTAGCAGATTGTCACACAAAATAAAGGATATTACCCATGAGTCCAGTGTTCCAGTAAAAAACCATCTATATGAGTCCAAAGGGCAACAGTCACTCCAAAGCGAAGATGAGAAGATAAGGGGACAGGAAAACTACAGTACTAGAAAGAGAATAATCACAACAGTTTAAGTAGAACATTGACACATTGTGAAAAATGTAACCTCACTAAACAGTTTGTGTAAACTTTCACTCAGAACACAATATAATATTATCAAAAAAGAAAGAACCGTTTTCTGAAATTTGCTTTTCTACGAATCAGTTCACAGCGGTGGAGTTAATTGTTTATCATACCATCCTTCTGGTAACTATCTCATCACTGCTTCATCAGATGGTACACTTAAGATTCTGGATCTCTTAGAAGGAAGGCTCATATATACACTTCAAGGACATACGGTATTAACCCTAAGATTTTTTTTTTTTTAAATAATATGTATTTAAAGTTTTTACCTGTTTTGTTATATGTCTTAATTATTTTTCCAGTTGCAGCATACCATTGCTGTTGCTGTCACCAAATATATGTGTATTTGTATAGATATTATATATATAAAATATCAAAGGATATGTTTTTATCTTCTGGAAGCACCTCTTAAAAATATTAGAATTCTTGTCAAAATTGATGTGTATTTTTCAGTGGCCATTAATTAATTTTCTACTGCTGTCTTTACCAGTATGTAGTTAAGGTGTGACTGATTAAATTGTGGTGGGTAAACTTACTCCCTTTTTCTGATCTTTCTCCCCATTAGAGCTGTTTCACTAGCTCTGATTGTCTTGGCATTTCTCCATCCCCTTCACTCACTCTTCTCACTAGCCTGATTCGTGAGTTTGGAAGGAGAAATTTGGCAAGCATAGCCCAACCCTTTCTCCTCTCCTGCCTTTGGGAGTGAGCCTGCCTTCACTATTTTCTTCTGAGACTGAATGTGGCAAAGACTGCCCATATCCTGCCTTGCCTGTGACTGTGGAGTCAAATCTGATTCATTCTAGGATTCAATTCTATAATGCCCATCTGTCCACAGATCAAAAGCCATATTCTCTCATACCAAGCTTTTATCAATCAGAAAGGTGATATTTTGGCTCTCATTTGTTTAGAACCCTGGTGAGGACAAGGAGTTCAAAGATACCCTTCCTCCACACATACAGTGTTTAAAGGGAAACTTTTTAAAGCGTACAAACTAGTTATCTCTTTGGTGTGAATATTCAAACTTCTTTAAAATTTTCAGAATGCATCCTCTTTTTTCTTTTTTTAGATATAGTAGGTACTTCCTTTTAACCTAGTATAAGCCATTTATATCCAGAAATAGAATGGACTTCATGGTCTAGGGGAGAAGGGGCTCTTTCTGTTTTCATATATCTTACCTGGCTTCCTGCTTTGCTTTATTATTTGCTCTGCAGCTGTGCTAGTATGAAGCACAAATAGAAACCAACCAGTACAGATATATAATGTATCTGTGGATTTAGTCTGAATAGATACAGACAGTCAAAGGGGACAAGGATTGAAATGTCTATGAAGTAAATAAACAATGAAAGAAAAAAGAAAAACACAACATTTTAGGGGAAAAACATTATATACAAAGATGAAATTTTTCAGTCTATGTCATCAGATTAAGTGAAACAAGTGGTAAGATAAACTGAAGACCATTCTCCCTAATTAAGGAGTGTATTACAGGGATTCCAAACCAAACCAAATCAAACCCACTGCCATCAAGTAGATTCTGACTCATGATGACCCTACAGGACAGAGTAGAACTGCTCCATAGGGTTTTCAAGGCTGTAAATCTTTATGAAAGCAGACTACTTCATCTTTCTGTCACTCAGAGCTGGTGGGTTCAAACTTCTGACCTTTCAGTTTGCAGCTGAATACTTTAACCACTCTCCCACCAGAACTCCTTATTGCTAGCATACAAAGATGTTTGTTCTGTTTTCAGTGCAATTAGTTGTCAGTTATGATTTCACTCTTGAATATGGAAAAATATGGTGAAGGTGTTCACAAGGCCACAATAACCTATGAATGTGGAATCGTCTTGAGAAAAATACAAGATATTTTTCTCCAAAAGTTTTCTTGTAATAGATTAAGAACCTTAACATACACATATATATATATACACATATATATATATACATATGTTGTTGTTATGTGCCGTCGAGTCGGCCCCAACTCATAGTGACCCCTCCTTGGGTTTCCCGAGGCAGTATCACTACGGAAGTAGGATTGCCCAACCTTCCTTCCGAGGAGTGGCTGGTGAGTTTGAACCGCCAGCCTTCTGGTTAGCAGTCAAGTGCTTTAGCCACTATGCTACCAGAGCTCCTATATATACATATACACATATACATACACACACACACACACACACACACACACATATATATACACACACACTAATATACTTGCCTGCTAACCAGACGGCTAGCGGTTCAAACCCACCAGCCACTCCTCGGAAGGAAGGTTGGGCAATCCTACTTCCGTAGTGATACTGCCTCGGAAACCCAAGGAGGGGTCGCTATGAGTCGGGTTTGACTCGCCGGCACATAACAACAACAACAACAAATATATATATATATATATACACATATGTATATACATACACACACTAATATTATTTCTGAGATGAGAAAACATTACTCTTATCTTGACTGAAAAATGGACCTAGAGGCTATGCATCTTGTCAGTGTGCCAAGTACAGTCTTATCCTACTCCACAGTCATTGCCCAATTTCAAGTTCTCATTACCTCCTACCTAGTTAAGTGCAGGAACTTCCTAACTGTCCTCCAAACGTTCATTCTTGCTCACTCCAATTCATCCTTCACTCAGTTCATTTTTTTTCCCATATATCACAGCTTTCCTGCTCTTAAAACTTTTCATGACTTACCATTAACCTACCTGAAGGGAGAACTCAGTAAAGTCTTTGGGGTCAGGAAACGGTCTTTGTTTGTTGTTGTTAGGTGCCATTGAGTTGGCTCCAAGTCATACCGACCCTGTGTACAGCAGAATGAAACACTACCCCGTAGTGTGCCATCCTTATAGTCCATGCTATACCCAAGCCCATCGTTGCAACCTTTGTGTCAATTCATCTTGTTGAGGTCTTCCCCTTTTTCACTTTTTCACTTTTTCCCTCCACCCAGGGAATGGTCCCTTCTGACAACATGACCAGAGCAGGTGAGACAAAATCTGGCCATTCTCATGTCTGAGGAACATTCTGGCATCACTTCCACCAGGACATATTTGTTAGTTCTTCTGGCAGTCCATGATATTTTCAGTAACCTTCACCAACACCACAACTCAAAAGCAACAACTCTCCTTCGGTCTTCCTTATTCATTGTCCAGGTTTCACATGCATATGAGGCTATTGGAAAATACCATGGCTTGGGTTAGGCATACCTTAGTCTTCAAAGAGACATCTTTTTTCTTCACACTTTAAAGAGGTCTTTTGCAGCAGATTTGTCCAGTGCAATATGTTATGTGATTTCTTGACTGCTGCTTCCATTGTTGTTGATTATGGATCCAAGTAAAATGAAATCTTTGACACATTCAATCTTTTCTCCATTTATCGTGAAGCTGTTTGTTGGTACAGTTATGAGGACCTTCATTTTTTATATGCTGAGGTGTAATCCATACTGCAGACTGTAGTCTTTAATCTTTATCAATAAGTGCTTCAAGTCATTTTCACTTTCAGCAAGCGAGGTTGTGCCATCTGTGTATCACAGGTTGTTAATGAGTCTTCCCCCAATCCTGATGCCGCATTCTTCTTCATATAGTCCAGCTTCTTGGATTATTTGCTCAGCATACAGATTGATTGAATAAGTATGGTGAAAGGATACAACGCTGATGCATACCCTTCCTGATTGTATATGATGCATTATCCCCTTGTTCAAATGACAGCCTCCTAGTCTTTGTGTAGATTCTTTATGAGCACAATTGAGTGCTCTGGAATTCCTGTTCTCAGTTTTATCCATAATTTGTTATGATCCACACAGTGGAATGTTTTCTCATAGTCACTAAAACACAGGTAAACATCTTTCTGGTATTCTTTGCTTTCAGCCAAGATCTGTCTGACATCAGCAGTGATATCCCTCATTCTGTGTCCTCTTCTGAATCAATCTTGCATTTCTGGATGTTCCCTGTTAATGTATTCTGCAACCATTTTTGAATTATCTTTAGCAAAATTTTATTTGTATGTGATATTAATATTGATCTTTGTTCATCATCTATATAAAGAACTCTGGTGATGTAGTGCCTAAGGCATTTGACTACTAACCAGAAGATTGGCAGTTCAAATCCACCAGCCACTCCACTGAAGGAAAACTGGGCAATCTACTTCTGTAAAGATTTACTACCTCAGAAACCCAAAGGGGTCACTGTGAATCAGAATACACTCAGTGGCAGTGAGTTTAGTTTTTTGGTTTTCAACTATATATTTATTTTTCAGTTTGTTAGTGATTGATTGAATAAAATAGTTCAAGACAGAAAATCTTCCTAAAAATTCTTACCAACTTATACATATGCAAGAGTTTCTTTAAAGGATAAAGTTTATTTTCTTATTTTTATTAATATTTATATAATTGGATTAGTTAAATAATTTAGTTCAAACCTACCTGCCACTCTTTGGGAAGAAGAACGGGCGATCTACTTCCATAAAGATCTACAGCCTTGGAAACCCAGAGGATGTTGCTATGAGTCAGAATCGACTCAATGGCAGTAGGTTTAGTTTTTTGTTTTTAATTAAATAATTGGATTATTTCTTTGATGATCTTTGCTATCCATACATTAATTGCTAGTAACTGAATGTTTTCTATTAGACTTACTGAATAAGTAGTTTAGATAAATTAGGATGAAAAATGGGTACTCAAAATCCTCTTGGCGGTGAGAAAGTATCATCAAGTACATTTTTCTTTTATCTCCCTTTATTTCCTAGGGACCTGTCTTTGCTGTGTCATTTTCAAAAGGTGGGGAGCTGTTTACATCAGGAGGTGCAGATGCACAGGTTTGTAAATTTTTTTAGCTCCCTCTTTGATTTGGTTAAAGTAAAGGAATCCTTGACCTGAGCTAAGATTTTTATAGCCAACTAGTTTTTTGTATGTCAGGATGATTATCAGTGAGTTTATATTTTGAGTTAGTGCGAGAAAGTCTGCTGTTTCATTGCTGAAATAGTGCCAGTTCTGGTAGTTTTATTAACTCAAATAGCAGTTACTTTATTCTACTCATTTTTACACTTAATCATGCATAAATTAACACTTATTGAGTGCTCAGTATAGGTGTGGCACTTTCACTTAACTTATTATCTAATCTTTTTGCCTTTATCTCCTTTTTGAGGACAGTAAATATAAATATTTGATGGTAGCAAATATTCAGTTTTCTGAAATGACCAAAAGTCATTCATAACTAGATCTATCGATTCAGATGAATTATCAAACTGAGAGCAAGAGTTTGGCTTCTGAGGGGAGTGTAGAGGATTTAAAGGTAATAAGACATTTTCTGGGCGCTCTGGTGGCATAGTGGCTAAGGCACTTGACTGCTAACCAGAAGGCTGGCGGTTCAAACCCACCAGCCACTTCTCGAAAGGAAGATGGAGCAATCTACTTCCATAGTGATACTGCCTTGGAAACCCAAGGAGGGGTCGACTTGACAGCACATAACAACAACAACAACAAAGACATTTTCTTAATATGGATTTCAAATTCAAATTGAAGGCAATTTGAAATGCTAAATCTCTCCCTAATCCCTAAAAAAGAGAGGAAAGCAAAGATGTTGAGAAATGTTAGCATTTTTGAAATATATATCTAGCCTTTCTGACTACTTTGAAGAACAGTTCCTATATTGTTTTTAAAAATCAGTTCTGTTATATATCTAAGCTAGCAAATACTGTCATGACTGACTTTTTCATAGGTCTTGTTGTGGAGGACCAACTTCGATGAATTGAATTATAAAGATGTCATCAAAAGAAATCTGAAAAGATTGCATTTTGATTCACCACCACATCTTCTTGATATCTATCCAAGAACACCACATTCCCATGATGGAAAACTTGAGACTGTTGAAGTGAGTGTTCTGTCCATATTTGTTGTATGCTTCTTAAGTGTCCATTTTGGAGCAAATGGTCAACTAGATGCTTGAAATTACACTGAATTATAACCCCTTTAAAACCTAGTTCTGCCTTTAAACAGCAGCATTTGAGAACAGTCAATTGTTATCACTAATAAAATCAAAACTACATATGGTAACATGTCATAGTGCTAAAGCCTCTCAAGTTTGCTTGTTGAAGGCCTAGAAATAGAGTAAAAAGTGTGTAATAGGAAATGAGAAATCAAATTTTAGGCCTCTGGTGACTGTGAAATCTGAACTAGCTTCATATTCTAGGTGTTTTTAGTTTGCCTCATGTGAGGTCTGTTATGAAAATGAGACTGAAGGACAAGAATTTTTATAAAATTATATTAAAATAGGTATCTTTAATAGCTATTAAAAGCCCTTTAATAGCAAATAATAATAATCTTTGGATAATAAAAAGAATAGATTTAGATGTTAAATTTAATAATTGAGGCTATCTGTTGCTTCTGTGTATGTTTTTTAAGTATGTAATTATTTAGCTATAAATTTTTGCTGACAAGTTACAGATTTAAGTATTCTCCCATCAAAGAAAAATTTATCTTTGCTGGATGTTTAGCTGGAGTTTAGCCTATTTCTTTCCGTTTTGTGTGATTTTCCTTAAGCCCTGTTCTCCTCCTAAAGCTGATATTAGAAATTACTATTACTTGTTCATCTGAACATTTCTTTTCATTATTGGCAGAGGCTTTCTTAGCCTTTAGTATGTATTTGGAGTTGCTAAGACTTATTCCTGAATAGCACTGGTTTGTCTGATGTACATTCTCTTCATGCCGTGGTTCTATACCCACCTCCAGTCTCTGTGTCCTACACCCCAATTAATCCTTTGATTTTGGTTTCCTTACTCTTGGTCTTTTCTGTTATCTCAGGTACTTCTGCTAGTCTCAGTGAGTGTGCATATTGTAAAATTTTTGAAATATTTCTTAGATCTTTTTTGAATCATTGCTGTTGAGTTGATTTCAACTCACAATGTAATCCAGCCATATTTTGAGAATTTTGTCCTAGTTTGTCCTTGGTAGTGTTTATTTTTGGTTCTTTGTTACAGTTTTTGTCCTCTCTAACTTCCAATAATCTTTTTAGTTCTTCTAAAGTATTTACTAATGGGCTTCACTACTCCTTCATACTATTTTGTCATCGTTCTTTAAAATTTATTCCAAAGGAAGAATGCAATATAACTTGTGGTTCATAACCTTTCTATTTTAAGTCCACAAGAGCCAAGATGTTGTTGTTATGTGCCATCGAATTGGACTCTACTCATAGCAACCCCTCTGTGTTAGACTGGGTTCTCTAGAGAAACAAAAACCAGCAAAGCTTTTAGAGAGAGAGAGAGAGAGAAATTTATCTTAGGAAAATGGCTCACAAACATATAGAAGCCAGCAAGTCCAAAGTCCCGGGATCAAATGTCAAGCTGGAGGCTTTTCCTGGCTCCTGCAACCATAGGGGCCAAGAAGCTCAAGGCTGACAGGCAGTACACCAGCTATTGACTCCAACAAATGACGAATCCAGTATCTCCAGGCTGAATGGTGGACTGGTCACTCACGGTGTAGTTGTAGGCAGCACAATGGAATCCCAATCCACAGAAGAATATCTCTCTTCCCAGGATGTCCCTGGATATCCTGGAAGCAGGCCACACCCCTAGGGAACCTCCCCTTTAACAGATTGGCCACTCAGAACACAGTCAACAGTCATCCGATCCCATCATGGGAACGATCACACAGAACTGGGGTCCAGCCAAGTTGACACACAGCTCCAACTATCACAGTCCATGCCTTGTCAACTTGGCAGTTGTACATATCTTCTTAAATAAGGACGATTATAAAGTATATTTGTGCCTAACATGATACGCTAACACATATACAACCGAAATGCATTAACCTTATTTATATTTCACAGTTCATAACAAAAGGAAACAAAAATATTTGATGCACATATAAAATGAAGAAATATAACAATCACAGCCTCGTTTCTGCAGCTGGTGACATGGTCGTAGCTGATATTCAGAACTGCCTTCTTCCACCGTCCATTCTGTATTTCCCTTGCCCTCAGCAAGCACCTCAGCTGGTCATGGTTCTTTGCCTGGTGGGGTGACCCAAACCTTCATTCCTGAAGGATCTGGACTGTTAGCACTCATATCAGAATAGGGTTGCTGTAATTTTCCATTGACTTTATTGCCAGGGCGTAGTACTAAGAGACATACTAAAGAGTTTCCTGTATTCTAGACATACTCTTTTTTACCTCCATTATGTAAAGCCAACCCAATTTCCCCTTGGTATTCAGGATCTATCACACCAGATAGTACAGTAATGCCCTTCTTTGTGTGTTGATCCAGAGGCATGAGGAAGCCAAAATGGCTGGATGGCATTCTTAATTTCCAGTTCAATGCAATCAGTATTGTGTCTCCAGGTGGGAATGTTCCTCCCTTTGGGACTAAGATCTCCAGACCCGCAGAGCATAGGGTAGCAGGGACAGGATGAAAAACGTTTTGAGTGGGTCACTAGGGGTAATAGTGAGTGGTACCACTCCTGTTTCCACCCCTTGGTTCCTTGACCTGTGAATCCTGGCTATTGGAGAAATAGAACCATATATTAGATGCTGTTTTAGAGCATATACAGCCTCCTGGAGAACATTGTCCCAACCCTTCAAGGTATTGCCACCTAGCTGGTACCATATTTGTGTTTTTAATAGGCCATTCCATCGTCCTATCAAGCCAGCTGCTTCAGGATGATGGGGAACATGGTAAAACCAGTGAATTCCATGACCTTAAGCCCGTTGCTGCATTTCATGTGCTGTGAAATGAGTCCCTTGATCCAAAGCAATGCTGTGTGGGATACCATGATGGTGGATAAGGCATTCTGTAAGTCCATGCATGGTAGTTTTAGCAGAAGCATTACGTGCAAGGAAGGCAAATCCATATCCAGAATAAGTATCTATTCCAGTAAGAACAAAATGCTGTCCTTACCATGATGGAAGTGGTCCAATGTAAACCTGCCACCAGATTGCTGGCTGATCAGCCTGAGGAATGTTTCCATATCGCAGAATCAGTGTTGGTCTCTGCTGTTGGCAGATTGAGCACTCAGCAGTGGCGGTAGCCAATTCAGCCTTGGTAAGCAGGAGTCCATTTTGCTGAGCCTATGCATAACCTCCATCCCTGCTACCATGGCCACTTTGTTCATGAGCCCATTGAGCAATGACAGGAGTAGCTGGGGAAAAAGGAC